TGATTTCTTAACTCGGAGGGATGAGTTTCGAACCCCTTCGGATACGGTTGTGTCTAAAGTTTGCTCTCTGTTTTGTGCGTGCTTTCACTTTCATAGTTTTCGGCTGCATTTACTCGATTAGCGCTGGCACTCTGCCTCCCGGATGGTTATACGTGTGTGGTGGATTGGTGGTTTTATCGCTTTCCGAGAAGTTTTAGAATCGAGGAAGAAAACATGATTCATCATGTTTGCAAAATTGCAAGCATCAGAAGATTTTATGCTTTCTGCGTGGTTTGATTTTTTCTCCCGGACTAGAAATTTGTGGCATCGCGAGTGAGTTCAGTTTATTTACTCGGTGATGAGAACGGTGCTGATCTATTGTTAGGGTTTTGCGATGTGCATTGCTTTTGTGCACGGAGTGACTTGAAAAAGAAAAATGATATTTGGTTGTTGTGGAGTCGCTGGAGGAGGAATTGTTTAGGGATGACAAGAGAAAAATATGCGTGGAAGCATCGGGAATGCGCTCCCGGGTGAAGTGATTTGGTGAGTACGTTCCAGTTGAAGATTGTTGACAAGTGTATTTGTGGTGATGCAAATTATGGTTTAGATGACGCATGGCTTCAAACATTTTGTGTATCCAAATAAAACATATTACATACTAAATACGCACAGGGCAACGTCTGCTGACCATTGCCGCGGGTATATCGTGGGAGTCCCAGGTACCCGGTTCAAGCTTTAGTTGGCGGCGGTGGCTCTTCTTGACCTTCTACCCCCTGAGTAGTTAGTGTGAATAAGGGCGTCTATGTGATGTTTTGCTGTACCTGTTGTGGACATCTAGTGCATCCTGTTCCCTTAACTTGTTGAGGACACCCTGTCTTGCCTCAAAAGTTACCCTTTTTGAAGTACTAGTCTTCACAACATAAAGGGCACCATTACGGAGTATGAGATTTGATCAAATTATTCGCAGTTCTACTTGTCCAACGCCCCCGGTTGGGTGAGGGATAGAGGATGACACACACACACACACATTCAATAGATAATTAAAAAGCAAAAATTGATTGGAGAAATTTCTTGCTAAAATTTTTCCAATCGCGAGATATTCACGGTCAATCATATAAATTCGAGATTTGTTTTTTTTTAGCGTCCTGGAGAAAACATGGTCATGTGGTATTCGGTCATTGCGAGAATTTTTATGTACCTCTTAAATACTTGACACATTTGAACACAAACGTTTTGTTGCTGGATACATTATCAAAGAACTTTAAGGATGATGTGGCTGGCAGCAAGACGAGTGAACGTTCAATGAAAATTAACTCTTAAACAACAATAATTAATGGTGATCCTGAAAAGCACCGTTTTGCCGTGATGGTTATTAGGGTGTTGAACACGGATGAGGCTGGCGAGCTGTATGTTGTACGAGGGTGACGCGCTTTCCATAGATGGCCCACAGCGACTCACGAAGATGGATCCCGATCAGTAGCGGTGAGGCATCTTCCTCCATCTTCGGTGAATAGACGCTCATGTTGGCTGCAGCTCGCTGCCTTTCGTTGTGTATAATCTTCAACGCCGAAATCACGGTTGCTGCTGCTGCTGCTGCTGCTGACGACGACATCCCGGACGCCACCACACACGGTGATTGAATAAGCACCGATCAGGGAGACCGGATGGCATTCGATTTTGAAATCTGTGTTAGGGAAAGCGCTGTTTGCAGTCAATCGGTGATAATTTTGATCACTATTGCAACAGTTGGACATTTAGTAATTTTCAGTAGTGACCTATTGAAAATTAATAAAGTGTTCAATCTAGCAGATTTGTAGAAACATTTCTTATCGATTGGCTTGTTTAGAATTAGAATTCATCCGATATTGACAGTGTTATATGTGGTCAAAAGCTGACCACTTTTCGTAATGCGGTCAATTTTGGTTTTTGCACCAATGTGTTGCCGAAAGACGTAATCCTACGTAAAAAAAAAATAGTTTCAGCAGAACAGTACAACAACAAGTTAATTTATGGCGGTTGCTGCTTGAATACAATATTACTCTTAAAGAGGCTATGGGAACCTTTTGTAGAGTATGGGGTTTTCTAACAAAAGGTTTTAAGACAGCTTTATTGTGATTCTCAAACATGCTTTATAAACCTTATCAAGAGTGGTCCACTTAGCAGGAAGACGATCTTATAGCGGTTATCAAAAGGTTGTGCTGGAGCTATAAATGTTATTGAAGGTTTTATAAAATTGATTTCAAAAACCAATGCAATAAAACAAGAAATGCTACTTGGGTATTGGTCCCAAGCAAATCGATTAACGTATCCCATTCTAGTCGAAATTTTATAACTACACAATGTTTGTTTTGATTTGCTATGTAAGTTTGACAAAAAAAATAGGGTTTCGTGGATTTTCCTATGTTTCAAGGGGTGCATCGATTAGCTTGGGACCGAAGAGAGTACCAGAACTGAGCCAAAAATTTGAGCACGTTTCTTCGGGACCTTCTGGTCTTAGAGTTACCTCTATGGTTTTATGACATGACGCGTGTGCAACGCGGCATACTAAAACGATTAAATGGGAGTATGTTGATGGGACAGGTGTAATTCCATGTGACATTTGATAATACTATAATTGATTAATGTAACGTTTATATTGATAATAGAATTTCAACATATTTACAAAAGGGTAACTGTTACACTGGGTTGCAGTGAGTCATCATTCGACTTTTGCGACTTTTGTCCGACGAAGGCACTTCGACCTTTTGTCATACAATCCCCTCCATTAGACCTTTTGTCCCTCTTATCATGATTCTGATTCTTTCGTCCATTTTACCTTTTGTCCCCCTCTCATCATACGTCTTTTTGTCCCTCTTCTCATCATTTGACCTTTTTTTCAATTGGACCTTTTGTATCTTCAACTTTTGTAATTCGACTTTTTGTCTTTCGACCTTTTGTCAATATATTCTCATACACATTTTCATGTCGTTGTTGTAGTACAACTACGGCACATACACTAACTATGAATTGGTGTTTTTAGCACGATTGTAAAATCAATTGATTTTTTTCCTGATTTGTCCATCTTTTATCGGCATTGATGCATTTTCATGACGCGGTGATAAAAAAAAGTTCTTGATAAGCGATATTGCAAGCTTTCAAAAAACGGAAAGTTCGGAAGTTTCAGATGCTCTAAAAAGCAACTCTTCTACTATCACGGCACGCTAGGGAATAGTTTGACCTATCCGACGAAAAGTTGTTTGCCTTGCAACAGTCCTCCTCGGAAAATGTGCCAGGGAGTGTCAGAAATATTCCACGGTTCCAATGTACCGCTCCAGTGCTCATTTTTGGAGGAATATGCAAGTGCGGTAAATTACATCGGTTTCTAGGGGAAAAAAATGTTAAAGTTAATGCTATATATTATGAAAAGGAATTTTTGGAAAGTTATCAAACCAAGTGTATGAGTAATGATTGGAAAAGATCATTATGTGTTTAGATAGGATGGAGCGCCGTCCCATACAGCAAGCTCGTTCAGAGCTGATTCAGAGATAATTTGACCAACTTTTTGGCCAAATATAAATGGGCTCCCAGTTCACCAGATCTGAATCCCTTGGATTATTTCATCTGGGCATAAATACTGTCAAAGGTAAACGAGCACAGGGTATCTAATTTGATCCAATTCACAGCCAAAATCAAACGAATGTGGGACGAAATGTCTATGAAAGCCGTGCGTGCCGTGTGATGAATTTGAGAAATGTCTGAACAAGATCAACCAGGTTAAAGGTAGGGTAATTCCAAAACATACACACTTAGAAATAACTAATTTAACACGTGACAGAATCCATCTTTGGCATAAAAGATCAGACGTAAACAAAGTCGCATAGGAATATTGAGCAAAAATCCAAATCTTGCTAACTTCAAAATAATACAACTCAAAAACGAAAAAGAAAAAGACACCGCTGATTTTGCGTATAATGTGTAAAAAAGCCTAAGTTTTCAAGGAAAAATAAAAAAAAACATATTGCGGCCCCTATCTACAAACCATGCAAACCATAAAAATCAAATACAATCAATGTTTTTCAAAACAAAATCTAAATTTTGTAATATCATTATATTTTCGCTAAGTGTTTCAAAAGTTATGATTTTTTGAAAAAAAAAACATTTTTGAAAAAAAAGTGATTTTTTGAAAATGGTCACCCTAATGACAACATAAAAAAAAACGGATCTAGTATTTTTAGATAAGGAACAAAACTGCCAAATTTTACGAAATTCTGAGAACCACTACATCGTTTTGCTATGGAATGGCTGAATTACACTAAATCATTATTTTTGATAGATTACCATAGACAAATTTCTGGAAAATTGGCATTGTTGTATTATTTATATTTACAATTCAGAGAAAAATTAGCATTTGGCGTCATATTTGACAACCGAAATTGACAACCGCAGATTTTGGAATTTCGAGCATTGAACTAAAATCTTTCATTGAAGACTTCGTTCGCATGACATCACATAAAACATTGCAAAATAAAAACAAGTCAGATGGAAGTTTGCAACTGAAGAAAACTGAATCTAACGTAACTGAAAACAGCCTGCCAGTGCAAAGGTACAGGAAAATGTTCGGTAATGAAAAAAAAAAGTTTCTTCTTGTACTTAACATTTCGACAAACACAAGACAAACAACTGATAATCTTTTTATCGCAAACATTAATTAGCCGCTAAACTTACATCACATCTTCTAAACTAGTAATGCAAACAAAAACAGATAAAAATTACAGCTTGTATGAAATAAAGCAACCAATACTCCTACCGAAAATATATCCAAATCGATATCAGTTAATCTGCCAACGCTGTTTGGACGCTGACCGGCAATAGCAACATCAGCCGCACCAACACAACGCGCGGCAGCACACTCACGAGAACCACGTATTGTACACTAATCTAGCAAATTAAGCCGTTCGCACTGATAACATGCTCAGCAAAGAAGTGTTCACATGGTTTAAATAGGAACGCCGAACCAACGGAAGCCATCAGTTTCAAGTTGTCCACCTTGAGAATCCGTTGGTAAGTTTGGGTGTGAATTACATTTGAAAGCAAGTGAAAGTGAATATTTGAATTTTTCCCTCCATCGTTGATTGCAGAACAAACCAGCCACCTTCCAAAATGAGTCTGAAGTCCGATGAAGTTTTCGCCAAGATCGCTAAGCGTCTAGCGGCCATCGACCCTGCCAACCGTCAGGTGCAGCATGTGTACAAGTTCAGAATCACTCAGGGTGGCAAGGTTGTCAAGAACTGGGTTATGGATCTGAAGAACGTCAAGCTGGTCGAAGCCGACGATGACGCCGAGGCCATCCTGACCATGGATGATGAGATCATGTTCCAAATCGGAACCGGTGCCATGCCAGCCAAGGATGCCATGGCCCAGGACAAGATGGAAGTCGATGGACAGGTTGAGCTGATCTTCTTGTTGGAGCCGTTCATTGCCTCGCTGAAGTAAATGGTGGATAGCGAATCCTCCCCTACCCCCCCTGCACACGCTTGCACTCGTTTAATGAGAGCGTATGTCATGTCATCTAACTGTGTTGTAACTTATTTTTTAAACTCAATATCGGCGCCATTAAAGCATTTTTTGCAAAACTAATTGGTTAATCGCATTGAAGTGACGTATGTAGCTCTTGATATCACATTATGAAACCCTGTTCACTGCGGCATTCACTTATCCTTGTTCTGCAGCTTGACAGCTCAGTCTTTGTTCTAAGTCTGGTAAGTAGTATCCCACTTGCTTAACGGAAATAACTCCACAGTATCGCCATTAGCGTCCCTGCATTGCATCGATATTTTTTCCAGATTCTCCATAATAAACTCTGATGCTATTTTAAATTATTTAATGTAGTATCTATTTATGGCTGATAATATTGGCCTTAATCTTTTATTTATGTTTTTGCTACATGCAAACGTTTTATAAAAAGGTTGATTCCCTTCAGTGTAGAAACGTTACACGTTGATGATGCTTGTTGAAGTATCCAAATTTATCATATTTGATATCTTCGGTTTAAGGTGAATGGAGACTTCATTAATTTTCAAGAATTCAAAAGCAGTTTTTTCGCTCAAAACAAAAATAACGTTCATGGAAATGTGCCTACTACAATCGACTTGCCTACCGGAACACAGTGAACACATTTTCATTGGCAGAATTTCGGTGTTAAACGAAAAAACTGCTTTTGAATTCTCAAAAATTAATGACGTCCCCTTTCACCTTAAGAACAAGACATGCTAAACGTTATCAACAATTTCGCACAGCCCAGATCTGACTACACGATGTTCAGCACAAAATCAAATAATGTAATCTACGTCCTGGTAACATTGTCCATATTCACAGAGATTGCATAGACGTCGTACTATGATTGATTGAAACATATTAAATACGCCATTTAGACAAATGAGGTAGTCAAAATGACTAGATTTCAGCTCAAAGTTGATTTAATGAAAAATTATGCAAAATTTCATGAAAAACGCAAAAGGCTAACGGCTGACCGATTTGTTTTTTTTCCTTGGTTTGTTCTTCATCGATCTTGTTTTCCGTGCTGAGCACCGACGCCAGGAAGGCAACTCCCACACCTGAACCCTACCTATCGACCCATCAACTCATGAACCTGGGACCAACGGCGTTACTTCCCTTCCGAAGGAAGGTGTGATCAAAGATGTTATGCCTCAGAACATCCCGGCGGCGCCAACTGGGATTGAACCCAGGCCTGCTGGGGTGAGAGATAATCACGTTTACCACTACACCACCGGTGCCGCTGATATTAATTTACATATGTACCTCAGTTCAGAACACGCCGATTTAGTCATGCACAAATATCTAGAACCGCGTGAGTCTAGACAATCAATAAATCCTACATTTATGGTCAGCAATTTCTCTATTGATGTCTTAATTGGATTTGCGAGTAGCTGGAGAGGAAGTAGTACTTAGAAGTAATAAATTCATATTGACGCCGTACTGTGGGAAAGTCGACGTAGGATTGAAGCCGCATCGCAACCATTGTCATTTTAATATAGGGTGGGGAAAAATTTTCCGCCATTATTTTCTTAGTGTACAGCTCGTATTTGAAAGATCCTAAATGTACCAAACCTGTGCCAATTTGGAGCTTGGTTCATTTTAAAGAAACGTGCAAAGTTAAGTTCAAATCCGTTTACGTGTAGCGAAACGATGAAGTCAAGTACATTACCTTTGGAAGTAATCGAGTTTAATTAGCAAGTAAAGACTGTACTCGAAAAAAATGCAACAGATGCAAAAAATGATCACCAAAAATTCATTTTAAGTCGAATATTTTTGAAACTCTCAGGGAATAAATAAACACATATTAGCTATGTTTTTGCACAGTTGGTTTATTCACCTCCTCTCCTAGGGTAAATGCCCACACCTTTGACTTAACGCTACCCATCAAATCCTGTGCAACACTTGCGCCATCTTTCTTAAACACTTTCATCCACTATTTCTTCAAATCCTTGTCGTTTTTGAAGACCTTCCCTGTTTTTCGGAGCTTGCCCTTCATTGAAAGAACGTCAGGATTACGCAAAGATTTCCTTATTAAACAATATCATTTCGCAACGCATTGGCTCAGCTGATCTATTGTCAAGATTAAATTTGTATGCACCTTCCCGACAATTACGCAATCGATACTTGTTCGCAGTAGATCGCCATCGGACCAATTACGCTAAATTTGGACCGGTAAACCAGATACATACATACATTTAACTGTACAACATCACATTTAAGATAAGACATAATCAACAATAGTACGCCACAATACTCGGTTTGTGGCTGCCGCTCTCCATCCTCGGTCATGCCCAATGCTCGCTAGATCACGCTCTACCTGGTCCGCCTATCGTGCTCTCTGCGCTCCACGCCTTCTTGTGCCAACCGGATCAGTAGCGAACACCAACTTTGCAGGGTTGTTGTCCGGCATTCTTGCAACATGCCCTGCCCACCGCATCCTTCCAGCTTTGGCCACTTTCTGGATGCTGGGTTCGCCGTAGAGTGCAGCGAGCTCGTGGTTCATTCTTCGCCGCCACTCAACGTTCTCCTGCACACCGCCGAAGATCGTCCTTAGCACACGTCGCTCGAAAACTCCGAGTGCTTGCAGGTCCTCCTCGAGCATAGTCCATGTCTCGTGTCCATAGAGGACCACCGGTCTTATTAGCGTTCTGTACATGGTACATTTGGTGCGGGGGTGAATCTTTTTTGACCGTAGTTTCTTCTGGAGCCCGTAGTAGGCACGACTTCCACTGATGATGCGCCTTCGTATTTCACGACTCACATTGTTGTCAGCCGTCAGTAAGGATCCAAGGTAAACGAATTCCTCCACTACCTCGAAAGTATCCCCGTCTATCGTGACATTACTTCCTAGACGAATCCTGTCATGTTTGGTTCCGCCTACTAGCATGTACTTTGTTTTTGACGCACTCACCACCAGTCCGACCTTTGCTGCTTCGTGTTTCAGGCGGGTGTATAGTTCTGCCACCGTTTCAAATGTTCTTGTGATAATGTCCATGTCGTCCGTAAAGCACACAAATTGACCGGATTTCGTGAAAATCGTACCCCGGCTGTTGAGCACCTTCTAGAGCGATGTTGAGAGTAGGCATGAGAGTCCGTCACCTTGTCGCAGTCCCCGGCGAGATTCGAATGAACTGGATAGTTCACCCGAAACCCTTACGCAGTTTTGCACACCGTCCATCGTTGCTTCGATCAGTCTGATCCGTTTCCCAGGAAAGCCGTTCTCGTCCATGATTTTCCATAGCTCTGTGCGGTCGATACTTAAAGTCGATGAACAAATGATGCGTTGGGACCTGGTATTCACGGCATTTCTGGAGGATTTGCCGTACGGTGAAGATCTGGTCCGTTGTCGATCGGCCGTCGATGAAGCCGGCTTGATAACTTCCCACGAACTCGGTCATTTTAGGTGATAGACGACGGAAGATGATCTGGCATAGCACTTTGTAGGCGGCATTCAAAATGGTGATCGCTCTGAAGTTCTCACATTCCAAATGGTCGCCTTTCTTGTGAATGGGGCAGATTACCCTTTCCTTCCACTCCTCCGGTAGCTGTTCTGTTTCCCAGATCCTGACTATCATCCGATGCAGGCAGGTGGCCAACTTTTCTTGGCCCATCTTGATGAGTTCGGCTGCGATACCATCCTTACCAGCTGCTTTGTTGTTTTTGAGCTGCTGAATGGCATCCTTAACTTCCTTCAGCGTGGGAGTTGGGTCAGTTCCGTCCTATGCTGCACTGATGTAGTCGTTTCCTCCATTGCGCTGGTCTCCCGTGCCTACGTTCTCCTCGCCATTCAGGTGCGCATCGAAGTGCTGCTTCCACCTTTCAATCACCTCACGTCCATCCGTCAAGAGACTCCCGTCCTTATCCTTGCACATTTCGGCTCGCGGCACGAAGCCGTTGCGGGATGCGTTGAGCTTCTGGTAGAACTTCCGTGTTTCTTGGGAACGGCACAGCAGTTCCATTTCCTCGCACTCCGCTTCTTCCAGGTGGCGGGTCTGCTGTTTCCGCTTCTGTTTATACCGTTCCACGTTCTGTCGGGTTCCATGCTGCAGCATTACCGCCCGCGCTGCGTTGTTCTCCTCCAAAATCGCTCTGCACTCCTCGTCGAACCATTCATTCCGTCGACTTCTTTTCACGTACCCGATGGTGCTCTCGGCTGCGTCAGTGATGACTGCTTTTACTGTACTCCAGCAGTCCTCTAGAGGGGGCACATCAAGCTCTCCCTCCTCTGGCAACGCTGCCTCGAGATTCTGTGCGTATGCTAAGGCGACATCCGGTTGCTTCAGTCGCTCTAGGTTGTACCGTGGCGGGCGTCGGTACCGTACATTGTTGATGGCGGAAAGTTTTGGGCGCAGTTTGACCATCACCAGGTAGTGGTCAGAGTCGATGTTAGCGCCACGATAGGTCCTGACGTCGATAATGTCGGAGAAGTGCCGTCCATCAATCAGAACGTGGTCGATTTGCGATTCCGTCTGCTGTGGTGATCTCCAGGTGTAACGATAGGGGAGGTGGTGTTGGAAGAAGGTGTTACGTATGGCCATGTTCTTGGAGGCGGCGAAATCGATGAGTCGTAGGCCGTTCCCGTTCATCAGCTGATGGGCGCTGAACTTTCCAATCGTCGGTCTGAATTCCTCCTCCTGGCCTACCTGAGCGTTTAGGTCTCCTATGATGATCTTGACGTCGTGGCTTGGGCAGCGATCGTACTCGCGGTTGAGCTGCGCGTAAAATGCGTCCTTGTCATCATCAGTGCTTACGGAGTGAGGGCTGTGCACATTGATTATGCTAAAGTTGAAGAATCGGCCCTTGATCCTCAACCTGCACATTCTTTCGTCGATCGGCCACCAACCGATCACGTGCTTCTGAATTTCGCCCATCACGATGAAAGCTGTGCCCAGCTCGCGTGTGTTGCCGCAACTCTGGTAGATGGTATGATTACCTCTG